AGACTGCTCAAATGTAAAAAGTGCTGCCGGTCTCATAGACACCAGTACTGAGATAATACATCTGCTCCTCTCTGCTCTTGGCCATTCACAGAACACGGAGCCCTAGGTTTTGATTTGTGAATGTCCAGGAAGCGAAGGAGGCAGAAGATGACCCCAGCAACCTCAGTTGAGCTTTAAGTAGATTATCCTCACATCCTGTCCAGAAGATAGATGTCAGACAGAATAGGAAGTGAGAGGAAATCCCAATGGGGAAAAAAAGCAACATTAAAAACACAACTTTTACAGCTTTTATCATTTAAAAGCAATTTTTAGCTGATAGGGGTTCTAACTCTTCCACACTACATTCCAGAAAAAAAAATCTTTGGCTAGAGTTGAGCTTTACAGTCAGATATTTTTATTCACATAAACTATTTTTCAATTCCCCTTGAATTTAACCAAGTGTGACCCATCGTGTTAAATCAGGCAGATTGTTTTCTGCAGTACAAAGACACTTGAGATTTAATAATTCCTAATAATTTAGATTAATTAAACCACTTTCAATGAGTGCACCAAAGGGCAAGTTAAGCTTTGCAGAGATTCACAAGGAGAAGACACTATATTACCCTTAAGGTTCACTGTCAAAGACAAGTGCTGAAATACTGCACCCACTGAGACAGAACATGTGAGAATGGGAAAGGTTACCAAAATGGCTGCGGGCCGCAACCCAGGAACCATACAGGGGTTGCCATGGTTACCAGCTCCCATCGAGGGAGGCGAAGCAAGAACATGTCCATAGCCGTAGGGGGGCAAAGAAAAAAAAAACTGCGAAGGGAAAAAGGAGGGATGTGCTGAGCAGACTTTGGGAACGGAGATAGTAATCAGTGAGGCTGTGCTGTATAAACTCCAATTCGTTGTGTAAACTGAATTAATAAATAACGAAATGAGCTTCTCTTTCCCTTCACAATCTTCTGCTGGGAATCTGCTCATAGGAAAATAAAAATTAAGCTATAGGAGTCTGGAGAAATTAATTTAATGGAGATAGGTATACCTAAGTAATTTAAACAATTTTGTACAATTAACGGTCTTAGAGTGGAAATGGATTGCAGCTTCTTTCTTTTTTTTTTTGCTTCTATTTTCTTTTATCAGAGTTTTGATCTGTTTATAAAGAAATTTATTGTATTTTCTTTTATAAATTAATTTAACCTATTCCCTGCTTTAGGGGTACTCTATGGTAATAATATGATATAGGCTTTAACAAGTCTATTCTGTATATATTATACAGTATCTCTACTGTTGTAACAACAAGAAGTTCAAGTTTCATTAACTCGTTCAGCCAGACTTGCAATGTAGGATGTTTTAAAGTGTAGCTAAAGCCAAACTTTGTTCTTAATTAAGGATGAAGTGGGAAGGGGTACAGTCTCTGATGAGTTTTTATAATTGTCTGTGTTCCCAACTGGTGTGGGACTTGGTGACCCCTGTAACCAGGGCATTTGAGTTGTCATCTGAATAGGAAAAGAGGGGAAATCTTCCACATGTTCCATTGAGAACTGCCTCAGAGGATATATACCTCACTGAAGGGCAAGAGTTTCAAACTATTCCATACTATTCCAAAATTTAACAAAAACGTTAGATATACTCAATTTATTTTTTATCTGTAAGCATTTCTGACTACAACATAACTATATTTTTGTTTTGGGTCCACTAATACCTGGTTGCACAATAGCTGAGTGGTTTACACTTTCACCCTACAGCAAAGGGGTCCTACACTTGATTATCACTTGGGACACCACCTGCACTAAGTCAGTATGTTCTCTTTGCATGTGTTTCCACCAGGTTTTCTACTTTCCCCAGTATTCATGAAACTGGCAGGTTAATTGACATCTGATTAAACTGGTTGCTTCTTAAATATTCTTTTTCTCCACAGCTGGCCCAAAGAAGATGGGGAAGAACAAAGTAGGGTTGGGCACCATCATAGCGTACCAATCCAATACAGGATGAAAAACATTAAAGTATGTCTTAAGCAAAAACACTTCTTTTTTGTTTTCATTTATTTTTCATTTGTATAACATAAGGAATGTTTGAAACCCTGTCATGTTTTTCTCCCCATGTGCATCTCATTGGGAAATTTAACGTGAGTTAAAGTGAGGGAATCCCTTTTTTAGAAGGCTGTCACTAGAACAATTGTACTCATTAGATGATTTTGCCTCTACTCCTATTATTTGAATAACTTAAAATTTTGGAATATCCCTCACATTCACTCCTATTGACCGTAGTCAGCAGTGCAAAAAGAGAGTGCATACTGACACAGACAGAATATAGAGTGGACAGGGATTTTATCCCTTCTCTACTCTATCCAGAATTTTTTTAAAAGTTTAAAGACTTTGGATATATTTTGAAGAAACAAGAGCATTGTTCCTTGAGGTGTACCTAAGTCTCTGATATAAAAAAGCAGCCAGGCCAATTATACACTCTGTGGTTCAGTAATATATCTTGGTTGCCTACTAGTTCTGTCTCAGTTGTTCATAGGTGACAGGTTCACTTTAACACCTAAATATATTTGCCAGTTCTGCTTCCAGCAGTGATCTACAGTATATGCTAACATTCCCCTGACATTTATTATTATATATACACAGTGCTACACTATCAATATCAATCTTGTATAAGGTGAACACATGGATGGAAACATTTTATCACAGGTGTCAGCAGAAGTAAATAATGAAGCGGAACCGTCAATGGGAAACTGCCAGAAAGACATATATCTCTGGACATGGTCAGAGTTTATTGCACCATTTGATGTTAGGTGAAAGTGTATTTGGCCTCATTGACTCTGCAAATGGAACCTTAGTGCCCAACTGCACATATAACCATAGACCTCATTATATCAATTATGGACCTATTGTTCGGTGTAATTTTGGTTGAAGGTGAGTCAGACATAAATGTAAGAATATACAGCATAAAAATATGTGCTCTAACCTGAAAAAGTAACAAACAAATAAATGGGTAGATGTTCCAGGTGTGGGGGATTATTCCATCCACCTTGTTTGTGTGGATGGAGGAATCTGTTAGTTCAATCCACTGACTGAATGAAAACAAGGCCAGCTTAAATCATTCTCTTAGCAGCTCAGCTCACCCCACCCTGTTTTTTTCATCCCAGCAGTGACTTACCAGCTAAGTTTCTCCTGCTTTCCCTTCTGATCAGTGACTCAGCAGCCTTTTTTAGCCAGCTAATCTCGGATGTGAGCACAGAGCAGGTGCTCTGGGAATGGGAACAGGGTGAGCTGAGCTTCTGAGAAAAAGACTTGGATAACTTTAGAGCATCTACTGTAAAATTTGAGGATGAATTGCTGCACAGTGTCTGTAGCTACAGTGGCCAGAAAGGGTTTATTTTGAAGCCTATTAACTTCCTGTTATGAATTTATAGATACCTGAATGTACATATCCTGAATACAGGTCCACTTGAAATTGACTCTGTATTGCCAACTAGTGATCAAATTAATGCAGAGGCTTTGTAAATGTTATAATTAAAATAGATATGAACCCAAACACTAATACACTCATACACGCTTTATTATAAGGCAATTCCAGTTTTTGATCTACAGCTCCCATTAAAAGAATATATAATGATCCTTCTTTTTCTGGCATTTCCTGTTATGGCTTTACAGCTGATTTCCAGTGTGTTCCTGCATTGTCACCCTGTCACATGCACCCCTGATGGAGACAACAAGTATCCATGTTGAAACATTACACAGGCACCATCACAAAACAGGTTCCAGAGTAATATTGCACATCCGATACTGCACCAAGTGGATAAAGAAAGGAATTGGCTGAAAGCGGTTAATACATGCAATGTAAATGTACTGTTCTTTGTCTGCATAATCTAACAGAATTGTGACTTGATTATGTCCAGTGGTCACACTCATGCTTGAAGATACACAGGCTTAGTAAAACTCAAAAACACCCCAATTAATTGAAGGATAAATTCAGCTTTAAAAAAAAATATTACAAAATATTTTTGCAGGTAATAAACGTGCATTTATTATTTGTTTATTAGAAGCCTGCAAAGCATTGCACCCATGATTAGCAGATCGCGGGTGCAATCTCCGGCTCCTGCAGACTGTCATTGTAGCTGTCTGCCTGTACCTTGTACAGGCAGGCAGTTACTGAATGACAGGAAGGATCAATTAACTATCTAGAGAGCTTATCCGTGCCCTGATAGGTCATTGAGAAGTACAGCCATCAGCCATTGTGGCTGATGGTAGTTGTAGTTCTCTCATATACAGAATGAATGACGTGGCAAGGTGGGCAAAGCCCGCAGTTGTGATTTTTTTAAATTGTGACATCAGGTGTGGGGAGAAGATCCCCAGCCTGCAGTCAAAATGGAGACTCGGGGGGGGGTGCTGGGGCTGCTCAGGTCATAATATGGGTGTAACATGTAACATGTTGCTAAAGGTGAACTTATCCATTAATTTCACTTGATTCACCAAACTCACAGAATGTAAGCTTTCAGAAAAAATCAGGTAAGTACATGCATCTTGGTTCCAAAAAAAACAATGTTTCATATATATGAAAATCTCCTGACGATCAGCTACTCTCTGCCTCCTTCTACCTCCTGAGCCTTACTATTGTTTCATATTTATGACTAACAGCCCTGCTAACCATTAGGGAACCAATCAGGCCACTTTGGGGATGAATTGCGTTTATCTCCACAGTCTATCAGATGGACAGGTCATACTGGAATGTTGGAATTCATTCCTTGTCCCACACAAGGAATTAAAGAACTGGGCAATGATTTTGCCCAGTGGTCAGGTCATGTTGGAAATGCAATTTTCATTATGGTTAATTTATCCATTATGATTCAGCAACAGAAATACACATTGGCTTCTCTTTTTCAGCCTCCATGATCATTACTTTAATAACTCTCGGATACATCCCAAGCTCACTGTGTTAACACAAACTCGTGGTATACAACAAGCATCCAAATGCAATAAGTGAACACCATAATGTAACTGTGATGTACGTACCCCATACACCAACTCCCCCACCATTCCATTCCATGCCTTCATGTCTGAATCACGAGCTCCATATTTCCCATCCTTTACGATCTCCAGCTTGTACTTGAATCCAACATGCTTGGCGATTTCCTGGGCCAGCTCAACGCAGTACCCCTCAAACTTATCATTGCCTTCAAATTCATCAGCATTCTTTTTGTACATAACATAGGGTGCTTCCTAATAGGAGAAGAAATAATCAAATTATTCAGCTTAAAAAAAACTAATGAAAACTACAAAATTTAATAACCTTAACATTCAGTATTCATCTTTACCTGCATTGACTATAGGCAACCCAAATCTTTGCAGACTGATGAAGTCAGTCACGCTCTGTGTACTTTGATTACTTTTTTGTTTTTTTGCAGCACGCCTAGTGTCTTCAACTGGTTAAAGTATATCTATGGCTTTCTATGAATACAAAATCTGTGCGGCAGCATTTAATTATGAGTGCATCAACACTTACAGTTTTTTTAGTCCCCTTGCAAGTCCCATACTTACTTATTGATCTTGCCAGTAATGGTTTGGCAAGGATGCGGCACTGCTCCTGAATTCAGAGCAGAGTTGCCACTCTCATATAGTCTGTACCCGCTTGCACTACAGTGGGATGAAACAAATGTTGCAGGGGGCATGGCTACTAACATTGTCACTGTTAATTCACAAGTCTGTAGCTTGTTAATCAACACCTGGCCACACCTAGTCCACCTCACCGCTTTCTGGATTGGCAGTACTGCCTGTATTGCTGAAATCCTCCCACTGTGAGTTGAAGTGTCTAGGAGGGGGAGCATGCGAGACACAAATGAAGGGGAATTTGGTTTAAAGTGGAAGTAAAGGCAAAACCTACTTAACTCTAAACCTAAAACCTACTTAACTCTAAACTTACCCTCAGCCACATTCTAATCCTAATCTACTTGGCCCTGTAAGAAAAAAATCGCTATACTTAGTTGTTCTGCAGCGCTCTGGTCCGGTCTCCAGAGGCGCCCTCTGTGCTGGAGACAGCTGATGGCTGGGAAATGCCTTGGAAGTGACATCACCCACAGACTTACTATAGAGCTTCCGTTGTCAGGTCCCTCTCCCATACATTCCTACACACTGAAGCAGCCCTGACAGCTCAGCATGTGACCGGACCGGAGCGGCTGCAGAACAGGTAAGTATAGTAATTTTTTATTTTACAGGGCTAGATAGATTAGGCTTAGAACTTTGCCCAGCTTATTCAACTAAAAGTGCTTTGATAATGTCACTACTACATCAGTCATTACCATTTTAGTCTAAAGCTGACTATACTCCTTGCACTTTAATTATAGATCTAATTTAGATCTACTACCATTTACATAATAAAAGGGTTCCAGGACTATTTAACCTGGGGGTGCAGAGATGTTCCATGCATCCCTCTGTAAGCAATCCAATTTCTGTCTGTTGGGACCAATGCGACATCTGTGTGAGTGCCGGTGCGTGTCCCTGCACGCACACAGGGTGACTTCAGAGACAGGCATCCATACCCACATGGATGTCATATTGGGATACTGTGGCAATGTCCATGCAGCCGTTATGTCACAAGAGACATTAATGGGACCGCCTGCACAGCGATAGACAAAACACCTGTGCAACCCTGTGCGGGTAAACACAGCTTTTCACGGGCACACAGTATTGTAAGCCCTTGTGAATGAGGTCTTATGTACTCAGCAAAAAAACCTGAAAGAGGTCATATTCCTTCCCTACTCTATACAAAAATATTAAAAAAGGTTAGGGGTATACAAACATTTTAAGAGCTGGATTTGTAATGGGCTTGCATGAGCTTAGCTGTTTTATTAAAGTGAATTAACTGAGGCAAGACAACCCACAGGAGTCAGTAAAGTCATTTTTCTGGTAACCGCCTCAGTTATCAGATGGCCAATCTGTTTCTAAGCCGTGCCTTGTAAACGATACATTAGAATTCTAAGCTATTTCCTTTGCCTGAGAAACCAACCAATCTGAATGAAATAAAGGCTTAGTCATGGACTGCTGTCTGCAACTGAGGGGGATCTGGAGGCCTAGGCATAGACAAATCTTGTTCACAAAAAAAAATCAAGGAAGAACTTGATATCAAATTGGAGCAGCATGATGTCCAAACACAGCCTTGACTGTGATCTTATCACACCTCTGCAGTTACGAACGCTGAAGCTTTGCTCCTAGCCGTCTGCAGCAAATTTATACATGTATAGATTTCTTAATCTGATTTATTAATGTATCATAGGACAAAACTGTTTCTAGAACTTGTTTCATAAAACATTTTATTTATATTTTTTCTGTGTTACAGCAAATCATTGGCTTTTTCGGTTTCTTCTTTTTCTGTAGAAAGCGAACCCTTGCGTATTCTGAAGTCATTACCTCTTTGTCAGATGATATAAATAAACTGGTGACATCAATATTACCCACTATAATCCATCTTTGGGCATTTGTGCACAGCAATCCACACTGGATGGAAGATAAATATGTATCTGAATGAACAAAAGATGTCTCTGTTAATAAGAGACATACGTGTCTTCGATCCCTCTCTGCCAATCCCTCCACTGGCTTCCCATTGCCCAACAAATAAAATTCAAAACATTAACAATGACATATAAAGCCTTTTATAACTCTGCCCCAAATTACATCACCAATCTTGTCTCCAAATATCACCCAAACCATACTCTTCTCACTCCTCCCACGGCCTCCTGCTCTCTAGCTCCCTTGTCTCCTTCTCTAGAACCTCTCCTATCCTCTGGAACACTCTACTCCAATCTATCCGACTATCACCTACCCTGCCCACTTTTAGGCGATCTCTGAAAACCTATATCTTCAGGGAAACCTATCCTGCCTTCAGCTAATAACAGAATCCTCTATTTCTCCTATCAGTTCATCCACCACAGTTATTACCTTTTGTACAACCAGTCCCTCCATCTTAGATAATAAGCTCAAAGGAGCAGGGCCCTTCTAACACTCTTGTATTGAATTGTATAATTTTGGTATGGTCTACCTTTATATTGTAAAGCGCTGAGCAAACTGTTGGCGCTATATAAATCCTAAATAATAATAAATAATTCATTGGAGTCATTCTATGGATTAGGATTTATATGTTCAGCAATTCATGTAGGATTAAAGTTTTTTAATTATTCACCTTAACAAAGTCCATCTTTGTGTTCTGCTTGCATGTTAGAGCCATATGTGGATATCCAGAGCCATGTAATAAAGTGCATCATTAAAGAAGCATTGATCTTTGCAAGCTGTGCCCAAAAAGGCAGGCAAATGACAAAGGAATGGTCAGTAGTATTGCCCATGGTCTCCCTGCAGCTGATTGTTTTCAGTTACTGACATTCCATACCTTTTACACCGTGGGTTGAATTAAAGAGTGGCGCAAGCACAATGCTTGTACTACTCTTCTAAACATAAAAAATTGAGCAGTTGCTGCTCCCAATTAACAAAGGGGTGCAAAGGGGAGAGCATCTCTCTGTTCTGTGGCTGTGACAGGTGACAGATACAATACATGGCACAGTGAACAGGAAAACTGGAGATGCATGCTTCAATCTCTCTGCCTGTCCCTGCCTTCCATTTAGCTCAGATATGGGAGGGAGAGAGAGGGTTGTTAACCCTGCAGGCTCTGTAATCACTATACAGACAGAGAGAGGGATATAAACTGTCAGCTGACAGCTCACATCCTGTATGACAGGTCATGCCTGGCAGGAATCTGCAGCAATTTTCTGCATGGAAAACTGCCGCATTCCCTTTGTCATTTAGGTGCAGAGCCTATGCTAATTTCTTTTTCGCTCTGAAACAGAAACTGGTGGGGGTGGTGCAGATACTGTAGACTTGAAGCAGGTCTATCTGCTTAGGTAAATTGGCACGCCACTTATAACAGTTTCCTGCATCATTATAAAGGTGCAGGGAGTTTTAGTTAATTCCATGGTGTGTCTTTGTGTGTAGGCAGCCATTTTGGTAGAGGCAGGGCTTTGCTTCGCAATGTCCGGACAAAAAGTGCATTTTACATAGCAAATCTTCACTTTTCAAGTTCAGTTCTACTTTAAAAATTAAGTGCAGGTAGTGGTGACAGCACAGTGGCTAAATGGTTAGCACTTCCACCTGGCATTACTAGGGTTGTTGGTTCAAATCCCAACCACAGCATCACTTGCCTAGAGAACATGCAGTTCTATATCATAGATAGATATCATAGGGATCTATGACTAAGTTGGAAGTGACAAAATGTGGCAGAGTAAGGCTTGTATAGTGACCGGACGTGACGTCTGTAACCGGAAGTGACACGGGAGCACCATTTTTTGGGATGCGGCAGTGGTGAGAGCCCTGCTTACAATCCATCACACTACCATACATATTATCTACAGGCATGTTTTTATCAATTATCTTGTCAGTGGCTGTCTGCATTCATTTAATAAGATGTGTTATTTGTACTGCACCATTGGAGTTTTTACCTTTTATTCTTTCATGGCCATTGCATCTGGGGGAGAGGAGCAAGGAGTACTGTGGATATGCTGATATTGTCACATTCTTTTCCCATTTGGAGTTTTTCAAAGCGATATATGCCTACCATGAGAGTGGGAGGCATGGAAATTTGGTGAGTGTATACCCAAAAGGGGGAACGTTTTTTTCTTGAACACATGGTGATTTTGGTTTTGAGAAGTAAATAGAAGATTATCACGTTGGAATGAATTCATGGACTTTATTAATTTTAGGATTTGTCACTTTAAGATAGATTTTTGTTTACAGCGCCATTGAATCACCTAGGGTTCATTTATTGTTTATATGACTTAGTTCAATTCAGTTAGTCATTTCAGCCGGCCATCCATGGATCGAAATTCAGCTAGTTCAGCAGGGATTGGCTGAATTTTTATCCATGTATGGGCAGTGTCCACAAACCAACTTCTGTACAGCCACCCTGTTGATTTTTTCCTGATCGGTCAGTGCCGGCAGCTATAGCCTGCAGCAATGATCAGTGTATTCTGATGGTGGGGAAGTCTCCCTCCCTCAGACTTCAAAGGCTCAGCGGGTCTTTCAATTGGGTCATTTCTTTTTTCATTCAACCTGCTGGTAGGTATGAGTGACAACTAGTTTTGCTGCAGCTATGAGTTATTTCTCATAATTTCCAGCAATATCTAAGGCTGACCAGTGGGCTTAACCAATATAAAAAAAAACAAACAAATTCTCCATCCACA